ACACACACACACACACACACACACACACACACACACACACACACACACACACACACACACATACACACACACACACACACACACACACACACACACATGCGATCGCCAGCCCACCCCCTGTGCCAAAACCCACTTGCGCAAACACATCAAACGCATTTATCTGCGTTAAGTGAACGCGCGTTTACCGCGTTCAGAACCTGAACGTGAAACGCGTGTTCAATGAACGCGCGATAACACAGCTTGAACGCGCTCGTGGACAGCCCAGTTTCTCTCCGTAGGAGAGGCACATGTCCACGTCTGCATCAGACCAACAACAATCACCTGTAGCAAAGGAACACCGTCCCCCCACTGTACCCACCACTAACCAACCGTCGAGGTCTCCTTCTCCCCCCTCCAAGACTCCGCATCCCTATCCTCGTCGCGACCTCCATATGTAAAATCACTCTCCCGATCGTGAAACTCCCTCAAAGTTGTCCTCGAATCCTGATACAGCTGTCTGTCCGACCCCGCCTACTGTCTGAGGTAAATGTCAAACTTCTCCTCCAACTTCGTCTCCTGATCCGTCCTCTGCGCCCCCTCAAAGAAAGCAATGCTCTTGTGGCGCGGGTTGAGGATGTAGGCCATGCGAGCAAGGCGTCGAGCTCTACACGGATGGTTCGTCGGTTCAGCGTCTGAGCTACCCTTTGAATGACCCTCTCTGACCAGGACCATAACCGTGACATCACGCGTCCCCCACGATCGAGTCAGCAGATGCATGACAAGTGCCATCAAGACGATAATATCATCGACGTCTTCCCAAAACGTAGTGTATCTAACCTTTTGTCGCACCCAACGCGAATGAAGCCATCGTTGATTATCATCTCCTCGAGCGCATGACGATGCTCCAACAGCCTCTCCAACATCAAGTAGTGTGCAGCGAATCTTGTCTGCACCGGGCAAATGAGCTCCTGACCACGACAAGAGGTGCCACTCAAAGCCGATGCGGACAGTGTCTGCCCTTTGGGAGGGTGACGCACGGAGAATCGCCTGAATAGGTTGAGGGCAGCCTCATGCGATCGAATGGATCGCACAACCGCCCTCGCTCTGGTGGTGATGTCCTCCCTATGTCCTTTGACACCATTTCTCCCATCCTTGTCAATGTCTGACAACATCAAGTTGCATACGTGCACTGCACAAGGAAGCCAAGTGATGTGGTTGTACTGAAGATCCTTGTCTTGCGCAAGGAGCTTCGCTGCCACAAGGTATGTCCCTGCGGAGTCCGTACAAATGGCGTTAACATTCCCAACGTCGAAGTCGTCGAATATCGACTTCCATCTCCGCACAACAACATCGGATGATCCGTCATGTCTTGCTCATCCCCGTCCCTCAGGACTGTCCTCAGAAGGTACGCCTGAGGATCCGCCTGCCAAAAAGTTGACTATCTGGTCAGCGCTGATGGATTTGCCTGTCGCCACAACATCTCTCCTCAGTCCCGCCAACATCTCAGCAACGCCCCTATGCATCTCGACAATACCTTCGCCACAGAGGAGGCGATAGTTTCGCAGGGAAGGATGCACCCGAGGGGGACATGTCGTGAGGTGCTGCCTGAACGTATTGTACTCTGGCCTCCTTGCCGCATAAAACGGGATCCCAGTGATATGAAACCACTGCAGGAAATATGTGTCGAAGTCCAGCTGCCACTTCGGATCGAAGGCGTCCTCCATGCGTGATTGACGAAACTTCTTTGTGGCCATTGTCGCCGACGGACCCTGTGAAGAAGCATTCCTCTTCCTTGACGTCCCAATGCCAGCGACTTCTCTCTTCTCCATCCTCAACACTCCGCGGTCACGCTCTGCCTCTTTGTCAATGTCAATTGGAACGTCCGCGGATTTGTCATCGTCCGCTCCACGCCCGACATCCACACCTCCCCCCCGCAGGCGCTTCACACGCCCCGACAACCTCTTTGACGTCGTTGTCCACCACTTGCTCAGGATCGTCTTTGTCCTCATCTCCCGCTTGTCAACCAAGTTGTCCTCTCCTATCTTTCCACCCCCTCTCCGCAAGGTAAGCTTGTATCTTCTTCCAATGGCTCTGATCGAAGTGGTGGGCACTCTTGTTCCAGATCTCTACCAAAATGTCCAACATCGCTTTAGGGCACTTGTTCCTGATAGTGAAGTGCATCGAACACTCGCTATAACTGTTGACAAACTCCTAATCACACAGTTTGCACTTCATGATGAAGTTGTCATTGCGGTTCGACGGTGTCTGCCCCTTCCGCATCCATTTGAAGTCGACGAACTTCAACTCCGCCTCTCTCCGCCTTTCTCTGTTGACAGGGACAAAGTCCCTCTGCTCCCCCACGCGCTTCAGTGGCATCGTTAGCCTCTCAGTCCCTTTTGTGGTGGTTGACGCCGCACTTGGTGCTGTACTCCCGTACAATCTGATATCTCGCCTCCTCCGACGGCGGGTGTGTCGACAATCGGCATGCCCAACACGACTCGCAACTGGGCCCGTGACACGCACGCAGGCCCCCAGCGGCCCAGGGTCCGCAGGCGCCGGCGCGGCCCGGGGCCCTCGGATGGAACGCCCCGCTTCAGCAAACCGCCCGTTTAAGCGTACAGGCCGTACGTACACGGTGGCCGTACGTGGGAGACCGTTCGCACAGGTCGGCCGTACGCTGGAACAGTCGTACGGGCAAGTCTCTCTCTCTCTCTCTCTCTCTCTCTCTCTCTCTCTCTCTCTCTCTCTCTCTCTCTCTCTCTCCCCCC